AGTACTCAAAGAATTTGTTCAGCAGGTTCTGGCTGCCAGGCTCTAGCTGTAGGCCCATAGCTTGTGGGGGGGGCTGTGACTGTAGCCTGCTAGCACAAGCAGATCCTCACGTTTTGAGTCATGAGACTAGAATTTGTTTAAGAATTGTAAGAGCACTTTTAAACAAACCCCTGATGCTGAACTGCATAGAGGAAGGTGGTGGAGGCCCCTGTGACTGACAGCTGGGGCTGCCAGGAGACCCCCAAACTAGGGACAGAAGGCAAGCAGTAAGGGTTTGTCCAGGGCATCACCAGCCCCTGCTGGGTTCGTGTGCCCATTCCATCCTGTTCCACATTTCTCACCCCTTCAGTGCCCCAGCCCTGCCCTGGCTCCCCTGCATCATGTGGGGCACGGCCTGTGTGGCTGGCAGCCAGCTCCACCACTGCACTGACTTGACTGAAATTGTGCATGGAAACAGCAGTTTCACCCTAACTTGGTAACAATGGATAAATGAAACTCAAGATTTTATCTTCAAAATATCCTCTCTCTAGGGTATATTTGTTTTCAGCCATCATCAGTTCATCACTGGAACAAGAGGTGAATGCTCTAAAATGTTGTGAAATACTTGGCATTTAGTTTTTGCAGTTTTGCAAGAATTCAAACTTAACAATTTCCTTTGGAAAAAAAGCTTTTCATTAATCCCAGCTGTCTCAGCATGACTGTACTAGAAAGTCTGGAATTTCCTTTTTGTCCAGTTTGCAAGAATATCCAGGCACAAATCAAACTGTCCATTTCGCTAAAAACCAAATTCTAACATAAAATAATGGCAACTGAAGAAAACCACAATACACAAACAAGTTTTACTCATAAAAAAATTCCTTCACAAACAAGACATTTTAACAGGGATAATGCAAAGGTGCAATATTTTACTGTAATCATGCACTGGTCAGCATACATGTTAGCTAAACCCTGAGGTACAATTTTTCAGGTGTTTGTGTCCAGTTTTTTTTTTTCCCCCCCCCAAGTCTTCTGTTTTGAGTCAACTCCCAGAACAGGGATTATCTTAAACTGTCAGACTTGCCAAGGTGCCAGTACTGTGTGGGTCTGAGGTGCTGCCATTTAGGGGGGGATGGCAGTGGAGGACAGTGCCACCACCCGGTGACCTGTTCTTGCTGTGGGGCAGGAAAGAAGGCAGGCAGGGCAGAAGCTTCAGCTCTTACAGGGCAAAAGGGTTTGCTTTAAAACAAACAGGTTTTCAGAGCCTACAGAGATTAACAGTGGGGTAAAATTCTGCCAGGAATTCAGTGTTATATTCTACTGGTTCTAGGCAAAGTTGACAATTATCAACACTCTTTATCTGCCTCCCAAAATTACAGAAGCTTGGAACCCACAAGTGTTTCTTGACATGTTCAGGCAAACCCTGTAAATAACTGCAAGGTCATGGCATTTGTATCATTCTCTGCAGCTGTAGAGGAAGATGTCACATCACCAATATTTATATTTCATTTTTAAATGTTGTTTGTAATTATCACTACAGCAAGCTACCTCTGGATGGCAGTTATACAGCTCTAGCCAAACCCAGACATCTAAATGGAGTTACTGACAGTACAAAGTCATATTTATCCTTTCAGTCAAACTGTTCCAGTTCTGCAGCTCTCGACAGTAGGATATGAAAACTGTTATTAAGCTTCTATTCAGACAAAACCCACGAACAGATCCATATTAAAGACTTTCTATGATAAAGAAAGTATTCCAGTATTACATAAAACCATGCCCTAAGAAAAAAGTCTTTCTTTTGGTATAGTTCCTTTTTTAAAACCATTTATTATTAAAAATTTCCACCAGTGCACCTGCTGCCCTCAGGACTGGAAGGCAGCATGTCACAACACAAGTCTGTACAATTATTTACACGTGTTCACATCTCAGACTGCTCCATTTACAGTGCTGGATCCGTTAACTGGAGGCTCAACAATCAGTCTTGGCTCTATCAGCGCATCCCAACTTTCTGTTATCTGGAAACAAAACAGACAATGCTGAGCATGTATGAGCTGTACCAGCAGGTGCAATTTCCCCTAAGTTATGCTTTGTCTACACCTGAACTTATGAACTGATGAACAAAGACTACAGATCCTTCCTTCATCAACCTTTCTGAGGAACCTCAACCCGCCTGACATCCTGGGTAAGGAAAGATGAAGGCAAGAAAAGCAGTGGGTGAAATGAAGGACCCTGTAAGAACCACTACTCTATCCAGACATGGTATTACTTTGTTAGCCAAACCAAAAAGTTAGTCTGATGACTGGTTTTGAATCTAGTTCAATGAATAGCATGCAAGAAGTGATTCTTATCTTGTCATCATGCACATTCTTGATAGAGAGGAAGAATTATTTCTGCTTCCATTTATTTCCATCAGATGCATTACTCTAAAGGGAACCTTGCTGAGGTGAACACAGTCATGAAGTAGGGGATGTATCAGCTCTGCAAAACTTGGAGCAGGGTTCAAAACAGGCCTCCCACACACCTTTGTATCCTGGGGAACAGCGTACTCTATCAGTTCTGCTCCATCTGCAGACTGGTAAACCAGATCGAATTTCCCTGGCTCTTTAGCAACTGAAAAACAAACAAAACAACTCCATTAACCATAAGCAAAAAGGTTTAAATATTTACCACATTTAGAAAGCTAGTCAAAACCAAGGGGCTGTTAGCTTGGGTGTTTGGGTTCCTAATTGTAACAAAAAAATCTGAGGTAGAACTGAATGCTACGGACCAAAATTAAGGTAATTATCTAACTACGTGCATGAAGTTTATCAACAATATGCTGCCTAAATTTGAGAGTAATGCTCATGATGATCAGTTTCAGAGCCATTCATAGCTTCAGGTCTCTGACCTGCACTTTGCCATTGCAGGGACTCAGTGCCACACCCACTGAAGACAGCAGGTTCACCAACGTCACAAAGAGCAGCACTGTGAGCTAGAATTCTCCCCACATTTCCATACAGTAATTTTCATTTTTTCAGGAAATGAAACCACAAAAGAGATGAGTTACTGCCTGCTTGTCCTGACTAGACAAATTTCATTTTGTAAATACCTGTCAGCATCTGCAATACAACTAGCGAGTGTCAGAAGTGCTCAATTTAAACAGACCTCTTGGAGAGGCTGTGAGCAGGGGAGATGTGTGTTGAGAAGGAACCCAAGGAAACTGGAAGTACTCTGGAAACATGAAATGTGCCTTGGACTAGGTGTTTGCCAGGTGATGCACGTGACACCAAGCATCTGGTGTCCCAGGGTACGTACACTGTGCTGCTGGTGATGACAGGATCTCAAGCTCGATCTGCTTTTTGTCAGCATTCCAGCTGATTATTTTCCCCTCCTTCATAAAGCAATGAGAAAAGAATCAGGTAAGAGACACTTCAGCATTGGATAACTATTCCATATGGACAACCACTTGTTGTATATATAACATAATAACAGTGCTTGATCACAGTTAGAGGATAAAATCTGCAAAGTATTAAAGCTCAGCAACCTGCATCAAGAAACTTCAGCTACTGTCACCATCCTTGTAGTTTAAATCAGTTCTTATTCAGAATCCAAGTTATCTGAAGTAGCTACAAAATTTCACTTGCATCAGTTTCAAAGATTTGCCTTGACTTCAAACAGCAGCAGATTCAAGTACAGCTACACTTTTCTACTTGAAGTTCTGCATTTTTTGTCCTCTCCAAAATACGAATATCGTTACTAATGCTTGCAGAGTTTTTAAATAACCACTACACCTTTCAAATTCTTGATTAGTTTTGGGTTCTAGCGTTTTAATTTTTACTGCTGCAACTGGGCAAGGAAAAAAAATACTGCACAACCTCAAAATATTTAACCCCTACCTCACCTATAACAGTTTTGTGAGTGAATGAATTGAGGGAAGAAAACAGTACCTTATAGTCTGAAACTTCTGGACTGTAATTTTCAGTTAGTTCCAAGCGCTGTTGAAAGAAACACATGCAACAAATGACAACTTTTCCTGATCCTTGATGATGCCATCTATACCCAGACATGTTTTTTTCAGCTAGAGGACTGCACAAGTAACCAAGTGTCCCACCCTAGGATCCTGATGCCAATCACAGTGCCAGGTAGTCTTCCAGGCCTCACTTCTCCAAAGGATTTACATTCAGGTCAGGCTGTGATTGGCCAGGGGGACGGATCCCAGTCTCCTCAACTGCAATGACTGTGTTTTCATTTACTTTATTTTGCAGTGAAATGTCATTATTTGTATGGCAAGATTTGCAGTAATATTGTAGAAACGCTATGGAGAGAAATAACAACATGTAGATTTTTTCTTTTTATAGCATCTAATTTTAATACTGACTTCCCCTTGCATGTTGGGAAGGGAGGGGTAACATGCTTCTTTCTGGCATTCTTATTGAAGCATGAACCTTGATAACATGCACCCAGCAGAGAGAGAGACTTTGTGAAAATGTAACCAGAAAATGCTATGATTTGTGAACTGACTTGTGTGCTAGCTCAGAGAAGTACTGTACAAATGCTCCAAACCTTAGCAAAAATCAAAGTCAAGACTTTGTAACAAACGAATTTTTTAGAGCCAACAAGAGGAACTGTAACAGTTCCTGTGGTATGGACAACTATTAGATTAAACAGATGGCAAGAGAGGAGTGAACACTTGCAGAGACACCTACAAAAATTAGACACAAGACGTGTGCTGAACCATTTCCTTAAAACAAAATTTTTAAAAGAACAAATCCATAGGATGAAGACTGCTTCCTAACTCTTACACTTCTAGGATAACGGTCCCTGAGCAATGTCAGATCATGTTCTTCAGCCTAAGTTTCTCGTTTTCAGGACAATGGTATCACTAGTGTGGCCTGCAAAACTTACAGTGGTCCATATGAAACACTTTTAGCCCACTAACATTCAGTACTTTTCGAGTTCTTTACCTTAAAGGCAATTCTTTCTCCCACTTGTGGTGGAGCAGCTAGAAGAGGTAACACACTATAGTCTCTCTTGGGGACCTCCACGGGATTCTGTGAAACAAGCAGTAAAGGCACTGATTTAATTTGTGTAAATAAAGCCAGAAGACAATGCTCATGCTGGGTGGACTGTGGGGAGTTCTGAGAAGGGCAGGGTGTGTATCTGAGGGCTTTCTTTTGATACACAATCACTGAGATATCATTTCATAAATGCTTCCTCAGGTTGCTGAATGGAGACACAATATCAGAACATCAACCTTTTCCCTACTAATCTATTTCTGCTTTTACAAATTACTGTCATCCTGTACGATTTCTTTACAAAGCTGCAAGAGAAAGGTGACCTAGGACTGTGTGAGCCACTCACCTGGACAAGAACCGAAGAGTTGGTTGCAGCTTCATTTAACTGCCTCTGTTTCTGGCCTTCGCTGCTGTAGTTATAGAAGAAGCCAGGGTTTGCTCCTCTCCCACGGCCTTGGCCCCTCATCATCCCACGAAACCCACGGCCCCGAGGTCCTCTCCAGAAGTTATTCTCTCCTGTTCCACACCCCCTGCCACGACCTGAGCTGGCAAGTGGCCCTTGACTAGTTGGCAACTGTTTCATACAGTTTCTTGCTATGGAATTACTCAGTCCAGCACTTGCCGTGGGTTTTTTAATAACAAGAGTTTCTGAATCCGAACTGTCAGACTCTGAAGAGGAGGTCTTTGCTTTGGGAACCCTGGGGGTGCTGGTTTTGAGAGCTGCCACACTGCCAGGCAGTGACTTTCTCTTTGCAGTACTGTCTGGAGCAGCTGCCACCTTCTCATCCTCTGTACTCGAGTCAGAATCCGAACTAGAGGACTGGGACTTTTTAGCATTTTTATTAATCGCAGTCTTAGTGGAATTTTCAGCATTGGATTTAACAGCCACTTTGCTAGAAACAACAGTTTTCACATCAGAATTTGCAGCAGCTTGGGATTTGTCTTTGGGATGTGTTGCCACTACAGGTTTATGGGAAGACTTATTTTGCTTTACATCTGATTCGCTGCTGTCACTGTCAGATGACGTACTGGAGGAATCAGAAGATCCCGCCCTCTTTTTTCTGGGCTGTGTTTTGGGGGTTTTGGTGTTCTTTTTATCAGGATTTAGAGAAAAGCTCTTATTTGTCTGTTCTACAGCCTTTGTCTGCTTTTTCTTCTTCTTTTTTGTTGAAAATTGTTTCTCCCTCTCTGTTTTTTTAAGCTTTTTAGACTGGTCAGTAGAGCTCTCTTCCTTACCTTCTGTATGTCTATTTCTTCCACTAACTTCTTCCTTTCTTTTTCTTTTCTTGTGCTTTTTTTGAGAGTCCCAAATATCTACAGAAGTCTCTTCCCCACAAAAGGAATACTCAGGATTATGTTTATTCTTTTTCTTTTCTCTTTTAGGCCTGTCTCCTTCATTTCTAAAGAATTCTTCCTCTTCTTGACTTTGTCTACGTCTTTTTCTGTCTTCTTTTGGTGTGTAAGAGAAGCCATCATCTATCTCTTCATAATCATCTGCAACTATCTCTTCCAATTTTACTCTGCAAAAAACAACAACAGAAGGCACCGTTCAGCATCGCCAACACCTTCTTCCTGTGTTAGCAGCCCCGGTCAGCCAGTCCTCCGGGCGTGAGGACGCTCCGCGTGTCGGCGGCGCCGGGGCTGCCCCCGGAGCGGGGCCG